TGCATTGGTAGGGAATGGGCTCAAAGGAGGATCCTCTAGCAGCAAAAGCTGAGCTTGTGAGCTGGGCCATCTTTGCAGCAGACAGCACAGTGCTGACTTCCCTCCATCCTGCAACCTGAGCCAGAGGAGGCCTTGCTTCAGCTTCTGCTGCTTCTTCCTTCCACTCCAGAAAGGCCTGCATTTGGAGTTCAGAAGGCCATGCCTGTGTTTTTAAGGTGCCTGCCTGGAGGAGAGGTTGAGCAGCTGCACCCCAAGTGCAGTTCCTGTGCCATGGCAGTCTCTAAGGATGGCCCCAGCGCTGCTGCCTTGGGACGCCTGAGCGTGGAAGGGGAGTGTGCCCTCAGGCACGGCCATGGAAGTCAGTCAGGAGGACAGGCTGCCCCCCGAAGCTGCCAAGTGTTTTCTGAGGCTGGGCAGTCAATAGAAAGGCCTCGTGGCCCCTTTTCCTGAAGCCTTTGGCCAAAGCCGGTGCACCGGTGTGGGTGCCTGGCTGAGGAGGCCCAGGCGTTGTGGCTGCTGTTGCTCCTGTGCACAGCCTGCTGCTCTGGTCTGTGGCGTGGAACAGCTCAGGGGGCAGTGACTGCACGGCCCTGCCCGAGGAGCCCCCCCCGCGCCCTCCCCGTGCTGGCAGCAGCTCCGTGGGCTCAGAGTTCCAACTCAGCGGGCTCTGGGCCACAGCCCCGTGGGCTGGGCAGTCTCGGGGGCCCGGGCTGGTCCCCAGCCCTGTCTGTGCCCCTGCCCCTGGTCGGTAGCACCCAAGGGACGTGCCCCAGCAGGACCCCCTTGCCCTCCTTGTCCCCAGCCAGGTGAGCCTGGCCCCCTTGGGGGTGTGCCCACCCTCCTGCCCAGGTCTCAAGGCCTTCTGCTGCAGACATGGGAGATGCCCCGGGCAAGCACCAGAGCAGCCGACTGGCAGGGAACCGGGAGGCTGCCTGGGGACTACTTATGCCCTCTGCCCCCCAGTGGCTCAGGCCTTCCCACACCCTGTCCCCTCAGGGCCTCCTCTGCCCAGCCTGTCCCCTTGCAGCCTCCCGCCACCCACTCCCTCACTCATTGCCATCGCTGCTCCCTTGTCCCGGCAGGGCCTCCGCAGCACCTCAGCCCTTCAGGGCCTCCCAGCGCCCCGTCCCCTCAGGCTCTCCCCCAGCCCCGACAACCGGCCCGGCAGCAGCGCAGCCCTGAAGGAGCTCCACAGGAGCCGGCTCAGGAGGCACCTGCCAGCCCTCAGCAATCCCGACAGCAACACACGGGCAGGCCACAGATGCTGCTTCCTGGCTGGCACAGGGCCTGTGGCCACCTCCCAGGACCAGTTTCTCAGGGATCCCCACAGCTCCAGGCTCTGCCCATCCACTCTGCTGCAAGTGTTGAGGCTCCAGCAGAACCCGCCAAGGCCAAGGGCCTTTGGGGCACTTTCCCTTGCCCACTGCACCTTTGGGCAAGTGTTGTGGAGCACAAGGGCCCTTTTTCCCCTCTTCCCAGATTTCCTGTGGACACCGAGCACCAAAAAAAACTCCTGAGCCTCTGTGTATGCTGAGAGGAATTTCATAGTCTCAAACTGGGGTAACAGGAACTTGTTTCAGAGAGGGGTCTGTCCTGTAGGCTCAGGTGGTCCCATCAGACAGGGTTCCCAGGATCAGTTCTCTGCTGACCTTCGGCAGCTGCCCCAGAGAGGAGCGTCCCTATTCTGCACCTTCTGGAGCTGATCTTCAAACTGCTGGAACCTGGAGAAGACTGAGGTCTCTGGAAAACTCTAAGGATTTCCTGGGTTTGAAGTGCCAGGCTTTTGACAGCGGCGCTGTCGGGAGTCATGTCTTCAATAACTGGAAGAGAAAAGAACGGAGCCAAGGTCAGAGAGCAGATCTCTGGCAAGCCAAGAAGCCCCTCCTGCCAGGACCATCCCACCCAACTCTTGCCATGGCCAGGAGGGAGCAGGGCCCAACGGGAACAGCCAGGAGGTGCTGGCCACCAATCCCCCCCCCGTGCCCCTGAAATCTCTCTCTGCTCTGCCCAAGCCGTTCCTCGTCTCTGCAGGGAGCAGAGCCCTGTGCAGCCAGGGCAGGATTGCAGCTCCCTGCCCCAGGCTCAGTGCTCCCCTCACCAGCCCCACCGCCCTCACTCACCGTTAATGGCGACCTGCAGCTCTACCCGCTGTCCCCTCATGTACCTGCCGGCGATCCCTGGGAACACAGATCCTGTCAGGGCCCCAGAGGCACAGCTCCCCCCCAGCCCGGCCACACGCCCTCCTGCCCTGGCAGGGCTGAGCCCGGGGCCTTCCCACCTCGGGACTCCCCAGGGCTGGGCTGGCACAGGGTGGCAGCGGCCGCCAGGGCACTCGGGGCTCCCCAGCACATCCCTGGGCCGCATCCTGCTGCCGCTGCAGCAGCCGGGGCTGGGGTCGAGCTGCAGCGGGGCGGGGAGGGACCTTGTGGCTCACCAATGAACCTGAGGGCCAACTCCTGCAGGGGCTCCTGTGGGCTCTCGAGGTACGGCAGGGCCTGCCACATGAAGTCCACCACTCGTTTCTTCTCGCTTTCCACCTGCAGAGAGCAGTAGGGCACAGAGTGAAGACTTGGCTGGGGCTCTGCCCCTTGGCCGGGCGCTGCCTGCGCCCAGCACTGGCCTCCCCTGCCCGCACAGCCCTGAGGCCCGGGCAGCAGCCGCTGGGGCCGGCTTTGGAGGGAGCAGAGGGCTGGCTGCTCCCAGGCAGCTGCAGGGCCGCCCTGCCCCACAGCCCAGCTGGGCCGGGGCTCCAGCGGCCCCCTGGCTCGGGGGCAGAGCAGCCTGCAGAGGAGCCCGCACGCCCCAGGCAAGGCAGCAGCGGGTGGGGCGCAGGCTGCTGTCCCGCGGGCGGCTTCAGCAGTGGGCAGGGGCACAGTGCCAGCCCCACACTCTGGACATCGGGGGCTGGGGGCTGGACTAGCCTGGGGCTGGGCCTTCCTGGCCATCCTTACCAGGCAGTCAAAGAAACACCAGGGCTTGTCTGCCTCCAGCAGGTTCCTGAGATCCCTTCTC